CGGGACCCACCGCAGAGTGATCTGTCCCCGTGTGTTTTGTAGGCCCGGGTTTCCAACCTTCTCAGGCTCCCTTCTCACGTCTGGCCCTTGAAAGCTGTGTCCCACCCCCAAGTGCGTCACGCCTCCGAGGAGTGAGCAGCCTTCAGGGGCTTCTTTCCAGTCCCTCCCTCCCCAAACACTGATGAAGACCCCTTATCCAGTCCCTTTGTGGCCAGGAGCCCACGCACCCAGCCCGGTCAACTCCACCCTAGTGCCCTCACAGCCTTTTGCTCCACTCCCGCGGGAACTACGGGGAGAGCACAGGGACCTGCTCCCACCCTCCCACCCTAGAGCTGAGGCAGGCTCCTGAGATGGCCAGACTGGTGCTTTGAGGCTTCCAGTGGGCCAGATCCCCCAAACCGGGAAAGACTGCATGCAGATTTTTAAGTGTTCTTTCACGTGTGGCAGGATTGATGTAAGGCCACCAGAAAGGCAGACACGGAATAGGAGTCTGGGGGGAGGGGGGCAGTGAGTCTCTGAGCAGTGAGAGGTCTCTACATGGTGCTGGCCCCATGGCCAGGGCATCTGTTGCATGCTGTTGGTAGTCCTAGCCCCATCCCTGTCTCTCCCCCACCTAGCCCAATACCCTAGTCCTATTTTCTCCCCTACTTAGTCACTATGCACAGTTCCCATGGAGGCCAAAGGCTAGGAGTGCCCTGGGGCTCAACCGAGGAGAGTCATGGAAGGTCAGAGGGTCTTAGACAGGACAGAAGGTCATTTTAAGGCTCCTAGAAGGTCTCAGGCCATCAACCACCTGGATGACAGCTGGCCTTGGGTATTGGGAACAGGATGGAGGGCCCATTTGACATCCACAGCTGTCTTTAAAGGTTCCCCTCTTATTCCTCCCCCCCACACACACACACAATGCTGTGAGCCCCAAGTTCCTTGTAACCACTGAGTGCCCTGGTCCCTAACCCTCTAGCCTCTGTTTTTGGCTACTAACTGTCACAGTATACATTGGTAATAAAACCTTTCCCCAACTCTTGTCTATGATTGAAAGTAAGGAACAGAGCAAGGCCATATATTATATTTTAGGGGAGGGCAGACAGTACAGTTTGAGCTTAAAGAATGAAGGTCTCCATCACAGATCTGTGGTGTCCAGGCTAGGGTTGGTGAAGGACAGCTTCTTCTTCTCCTCCTCCTTCTTCTTCTTCTGCTGTCCACCTGTGCCTCCCGACCTTTCCGAGAGCACTGCAGTCAGGGGCTCAGGGGCAGGCTCAGGAGAGTCCCGTGGAAGATCCTTCCACTGGAGAGACAAGGAGGGAAGGATAAAGATAGGGCTCTCACCCCAGACCCTAGGACAGCCAATGGCTCCTCGACTGAGGTTTCTCTGAGGCTCACTCTGTTTAGGCCTCTGTCACCTTGCTGTATCCCAGAGGCAGAGGTGGCCAAGGGTGATGGGTGGGGTGGCCCTTGGGGGTCATCTGTGACCTTTACCTAATCCCAGTAGAGAATGTTCTGGCATTCAAACCAGTCATAAACCAAAGAGCAACTTTGTCACAGTTCCTGCCACCTATACCCTAGGACAGGCCATGGGTTGGGCAAGGTCCCTCGATTCCCTGACATAGCCATAGATGGCCTTCTGAGAGAGGTAGGAACCACTCAGCCGGCCTTGTGGATGTCCATGGTACAACACAGAGTCTGCTTGAACTTAGCATCTCCCGTCTGTTTTAGAAATGTCACCCAGGACTACATCTGTACCTTATCATGGTACTCACACATCCTACTGTCCTTCCTCTTGCCCTTCCCTTGTGACATTAGACACACAGCCCACTCATCTCTCTTCACAGATATGCATTCCCATGAGAGACCCCAGGCCCTGAGCTAGGTTAGTCCACTGTAGAGACTGCCCCCCTTCTCCACAGGACTAGAGCCCCAAGCCACCACTATCTTTCCCTGGATACTATAAGAGCTTTTTCCAACCTAGAGATGTTACTATCCCTGGTAAACAGCGGAACATCCAGGAGCCTTGAGGGGCTTCTCATTCCTTAGTACAGACCCTGAGCCCAAAGCAACTGGTATAACACTAGACAATATAATCTGGTACCTAAGCTCAGGGACCTGACTCTGCTTTTCACTTCAGGCTGCCTCAGGCCTTAAGCCAGACAGCAGCCTCTGAGCATTCACACCAATGCTATTTGCTTGGCAAGTGGGCTTGGGTTGTCTCCTGGTTGCTTACACCTGTACACAGCGTTAACAGAGCTGCTGTAGGTCACGGCACTCAGGGATATTGCTAGAAAAACCTCTTCTGTCTCTCAGCCAGTCTGTCACAACCTCTCTCTAGACTCCTCTCTCTGAAGCCCTGTTCTTTCCACAGGGCAGTCAGGAACCTCTAACTCTACTCTTGGGCTGCAGGTCTCCATTGCGCTTCTCTGGGCCCTGAAATTTTTGCCTCAGTTGTGTCAAAGAAGTTCACTAGAGTTTTGGGGTTTTTGATTTTTTTTTGTTTTTGTTTTTTTTGGGGGGGTGGTTGTTTGTTCATTTGTTTTTGGTTGTTGTTGTTGTTGGGAGGTTTTTTTTTGCTGTTGTTTTGTTTTGTTGTTTTTGTTGTTTGTTTTTCTGCCTCTAATCATCTCCACACTGAGATGAGCCACACACAGGGGCTGACTAGCTTGCTACCCATGATCCCCCTTCCTGGGAGTCCTCTAGAAGTCGCTATGTCAGACTTTGTATCATGCTACGTCTGGGCCCTTGTACAAACCCAAGAGAAGCTTTGGTTACCCTGATCGATCTAATAGTTGAGTCCTCTATCAGGTAGTGGTGGTGGAAGCCTTTAATCCCAGCACTCGGGAGCAGAGGCAGGAGGATCTCTGAGTTCCTGGATAGCCTGGTCTACAGAGAGAATTCCAGGACATCCAGGGCCACACAGAGAAACTCTATCTCAAAAAATATATTATTAGAAAGAAAGAAAGAAAGAAAGAAAGAAAGAAAGAAAGAAAGAAAGAAAGAAAGAGAAAGAAAGAAAGAAAGGAAGGAAGGGAGAGAGAGGGGGGAAGGGAGGGAGAGAAGGAGAAAGGAAGAGAGGGAGGGAGAAAGAGAAGAGTCCTCAAGGAAAAATAAGGATGGTGACGTGAGATTGGGCACCCGGGGGGGGGGGGAAGGGTCCAAAGAACAGTGTATTGTGACAGTGCAAATACCACTTCTTTACAAGAAAGGAATGTTTGCAGCTGATGGACCCCAAAACCGTCTGCTCCTTTGGGAGGAGGGGGAGCACTCCAGAGAGACCCTCCGACATTACTGAGCAGTACCAGCAAATCTCCATTCCACCTAAACACTGGAGTCTCCTGGAGAGTCAGTAATACACCTGTAATCCCACCACTCAGGAGACTGAAGAGTCAGTAATACACCTGTAACCCGCCACTCAGGAGACCGAAACAGGAGACGAAAGTTTGAGGTTGGGCTACAAAGTAAGGCCCCAATCACAAAACAGAACCCCAAACAAATCAAAAGCCCATCACTGGAGTCCCCTGGAGAGCTGTGACAGTGTGTCCTTGCCTGATCCACCCCAGGCCATCAAGATCAAGGTCTCTGAGTGTGAGCTGGGCATTTGTTCTTTTACAACTCCTCAGGCAATTCTAAAAAGGGCTCAAACTGTAAGCTTGTGACTCATCTATCAACCACCTAACCAACTAACCTAGTTAACAAGTAGTGGTGTTGTCGTTTGATCATTTACTGGGCTTCCTTTCTCTCCTTGGGAACCTTCGCTTGTGTCCAGACTTCCTCCTCACCTGCTCCACCAGCGTTTGTACAGAGGCCCAAAACAGGCAGGACCAGTTCCTGGCTATGTACTTTGGGCCAGGGCTTTCCTTTCTCTTGTTCGGGGTTTTGGTGGTTTGTTTTGGTGGTGGTGCTGGCGCCTGATCCCAGAGCCTCAGCAAGTGCTCTACCATTACACCACATGCTTGCTCTGGCTTAGTCCACACAGCAGAGCCTGCTTTGATTACCATTTACAAATGAAAAGAACTGAGCGCCCAAAGCAAAAAGCAGCCCGCAATTGGGAGGAACAGTGCCGAGCCTCACTCATCCAGAATTCCACTTCTAACAAGAGTCTCAAGTCAGAAGCCCCAGGTACCAACTCTTCCATGTCTTGCCTTGACCCCTCCCATATCTTCTCTTGACCCCTCCCACATCTCGCCTTGACCCCTCCCATATCTTGCCTTGGCCCCTCCCACATCTTACCTTGACCCCTCCCACATCTTACCTTGACACCTCCCACAGCTTGCCTTCACCCCTCCCACATCTTACCTTGAATTCCTTACTGTCCATATCCAAGTCCACAGAGTTCTCGTCTAGGGAATTGAGGCTATGGGAGGAATGGTTGAATTTAGATTGTTAGCAAGCTGACCCAGCCTTCCTAGTCTGTGGCCTTGCTACCACCATCACCACCACCACCACCCTCACTATCATCACCACAACCACCAACATAATCACCATCATCTGCATCACCACAACCACCACCTACTACCACCACACCATCACCACCGCCATCACCACCGACGTTATCACCATCACCACCACCTCTGTCCCCTCTACAAACAACTAGTCTGGTAGTAAGAGATACTATTCACCTGTGATAGTCCAAGTCACTGGAAGAGTGGCACTCCAATCCCAGATCTTTGGTGGGGAGGTCCAGCACGGGGTTGGCCCTGGGGAGAAAGTATGGTCAAGCAGCCATGGCCCTCAGCCATCTTACAAGGTCTCTTGCTCCCCTTTGACCCCTGCTCACCGATCAGTGTTGTACACGTTAGTCCCTGGGATGGCAGCAGTTGAAGTTGCCGTCTCTATTGGGGTCTTCCGGGCCTCCTTGCCAGCCTTCATAGCTCGAAGCTTCCGGTGGTAGCTGTTGAGCCAGAGGAAGTCACATTTGAAACATACTGGCCCAGTGCCTAGTGGGGGCCCTTCAACTGTGGCTTCACAACGAGGATCCTGGCTGGTGATAACTTTAGCTGCATTTCGTAGGGAGTAGAAACTAACAGCCAAGGGAATGTGTTGCCAAAAGCCACACCAGCAGCTAGAAGTGACAGCCAGAGTACAACTGGAGAAGCTACCGACTTTTCTGGCAAGAGGAGATGGGGAGCTCACCATTGCTACCCCAA